CTGGCTGCCCTCATTTCTTCCTAGCAGTCGAACATGTAGGCTGCACTTTTTCAGAGCTCTTCAATGAGTTGTTAGAGCATCTGTCTCACCTGTGGTCATTACATTTCATCTCTCCTTGCTAGAATTGTTAACACACTCCTACTGGTGGCTTGCCAAGCTTGAGAGTAGCTAGAACAGCTCCTTTGCCGTGACCTGGCTGTGCTCCAAGATTTCATTTTTGGTCATTTTGTCTGACTATTTAATGCAAACTGTAGATCATAGATAATGGTGGTGAAAGAGTTCAAGTAACCAGAAGTGTAATCTTAAGAAGATGCAAGTTTCAGTTATGTAATAATTTAGATGTAAACATTGCTCTGTAAAAATTTTAACTTCATTTTAAGTATGTTTCCAGTGGGCACGACATATCGCATTCCAACGAACAAAATGACTTTTAGTATCTTCATCGATTAGTACATCATTCATGTAATTTGTAGTGAATTGTTTTGGCCCAGTTATCTTTTTGGCAGTTCTCAAAAACTTAAAATGTCACTGATGGAAGCAAACATTTCAGTGACAATAGCAAAATGATAAGAAATCAGCATGTAATCAACAGATTAACACTAAAAACATATATTTGAAAATAAATATATATATAATTTTACATCTATAACATATAAATATGGAGGCAGATTTCACTCTGTTGCCCAGGCCGGAGTACAGTGGCATGATCATGGCTCACTGCAGCCTCCACCTTCCCGTGCTCAAGTGATTCTCCCACCTCAGCCTCCTGAGTATAGATATTAATATAAATATTAATATTATGTTAATGATAATTTTACCAGAATTAAAAACATGTTATATATTTGAATCTCAGGTATTCAGTCCCCTAGTGGAATTATAATCATGAACTCATGGAAATAAGGGACTAAGAAGCAACTAGAAAAGTCCAGAAAAGACTGGTTAAAGCTTAGTTGAGCCTTCTTCTACCTCCGATGTGGCCTTGAGCAAGTCACTGAGCATATCTGAGCTTAATTTCTTCATCTTTAAAATATTCTTTCATAAGGTTGTTCAAAGGATTAATGAAGTAAATGGTAAATGGTAAAGTAAATGAAGTAATTTAATTCATGAAGGGATAAAGTAAATGGTAAATATATTACAAAATATTTTAATTGTTTCTAAGGTCCAAGTTAACTATAAAATTTTGAAATATTTTCTGAATTCTCTACAAAACCTGTAATTTTGTAGCACTTTAGTTAATTCATGGTGACGACAACCCACTTTTATCCCTGTTAGTGTCCTTGGAAGATTGTCATTAGTAATCCCTTAAATCTTATTAATAAAAAATGAAGTATATTTAGTTAAGTTCTTCATCTATGAAAATTGGCCATTTATATACCTGGATATTTTGTGTTTCCCTAATAATCAGAAAATTTGTAAGCCAAATTTTTTTTTCCTCAACAGTACTATCTGTTTTCATTTTCTTTACTAAAGACCAGTTGTAATATTTTTCCAAATATATGGAACATTTAAAATATTAGTATATGATAACATTTCTATTTGTGATAATCATTATTAATAATAGCTTCATTTACTGAGCTCTCCATTGTGACGGGCACAATGCAAAGCATTTTACGTGTGTTACCATATTTAATCCTCACAACAATCCTGTTGTTGTGTATGTAAGCATGTAAGTAAGGCACAAAGTATGTGAGTAACTTTACCTAAAATCATCCTTTAAGAAAGAAAAAGAGAGGTTAAACCCAGGCATTCTGAATCCAGAGTTGAGGAACATTACATTTAAGCCATACTACATTGCCAGCATTGTCTAATCTCTTGCATATCTGCTCATGAGTATTCCCAAGATACAACCTCTGAACACCATGATTCCTGGGAGGCTAACCTGAGGGTCTTGGATACCAATAGTAACCATCTAAGTCCTCCTAAAGCCTTTGAAAGTACTTTCTAATATGTTTTTGAGTTTTTCTGACATACCCTCAACCATAATTACATGGAAATCCAGTAGACAACTTTTGTTTTCACATATTCGATAGTCAGAGATAAAAAGGAAAAGTAATAGCCTATTCAAGAGAGTAGTTTTCATGTATTCCCCAACCAACATAACTTGTCATTCCCCATCAGAGTGTAATCACAATGAGTAAAAGTGTTTTTAAAAATTACACTACAATTTTATGTAGACATTTGCATGTGCAGGTTCTGTTTGCTCTAATTTACTATCTTCAGCTTGTAAATACTAGTGAATAATTATAAGCTCACTTAAATTGTTATCAGATCATCATGGAGAGTTCTGCATTTGCCAAAACACATAATCAAAATTGTGCGTTGAATTAATTCAAGAGTCAGAAACTAGAAAATTTGATATAATTTAGTTCGCATAGCTAATCTTCATGGTGAAATTGCAGGGACAGACCTAGAAGCATACTCTTCACCCCGCCCCCCACGCACACATATAATGTTGAAGCAGTTTATGTCTTCAATTCTGCAAGTTTCCGCTTGGTTTCCTGTCATTGTATTATCATTATCTTGAGAGAAATAACTTTTTCTCACTTGAAATGAATTTTGAGTGAAACTAAGATTCAAGTTATCACTGCACATTAAAAAACAATTTCTTATACTTTACAAACATAGGCATAGGCGTATGAGTGCATGCACACACACACACACACACACACACACAAGCACATAAAGCAGCTTCTACATATGAATGGACTGATTTCAGTATATTTGGAAGACTATTTTTAAGCCCCAATGATAAGTTCCCATAGGAGTAGTATTATGTTACTATTCCACCCCAAAAGCCTTTTTATCTCATATTTTCCACCACTTAACACACTGCTTTTATGGAATCATCCTTTCTCAATTTCCCCTCCAGATACAAGGAACATAATCCTCTCTATATACTACTAATCCTAGAAAACCCTCTGCCAGTATACCCATAATAATCACACTGTTTTCAATGGTATGCATGTTATCAACCAGGACAGTTATCAAAACCAGTGATATCCCTGGTTGAGGATAATCATATAGATGTTAAGAAATAACGTTTATATTTTCAAAATGATAAATACTATGGTTTACTTTTTGAAATCCTGAGCATTCAATTTTTTTAGTGTTATAGAAGTTAGTAGAGTGTACACTGATGTGCAAAACTGTAAACTTTACTGAAAACAGAAAATACCACAAAGTATATGCTGCTACAGATGCTCACCCAAGTTGTGTTTGATTAATTTATTATTTTCTGGTTGTCAGCATCACCATGTAACTGGTAACAGAAAGGTACAATTTATATTAACCACTCTTTTCAAAAAATCACAATTATTAGAATTTAAAAACGGTCTGATTCAGTCATTAGTATTGAATGAAATCAGCAGTTCCATTCCTGAAAACTGGTACTTTTTGAACATGTTTCTTATTTCAATAGTTTTAGGGGTACAAGTGGGTTTTTATTACACAGATGAATTGTATATTGGTGAAGTCTAGGAATCAGTGCACATGTCACCCGGATAGTGAACATTGTACTCGATAGGTAGTTTTTCATTGATCACCCTTCTCCCACCCTTTCCCTTCTGAGTCTTCAGTGTCCATTATACCACTCTGTGTGCCTTTGCATACTCATACCTTAGTTCTTACACTTATAAGTAAGACATATGGTATTTGCTTTTTGTTCCTGAGTTACTACACTTAGAGTAATGGTCTCCACTTCCATCCAAGTTACTGAACATTATTTCATTCTTTTTGTGGCTGAGTAGTATATTCCAGTAGTATATATATCCTACACACATATATACATTTTGTGTGTAGATATATATGTGTGTGTATATATTGCACATATATACACCCCACATTTATATATATAGTATATATCATACATATCATATATGTCATATATATTTTATATATTATATATCAATATATCATGTATATCTCACATTTTCTTTATCCACTTATAGGGTGATGGGCAGTTAGGTTGATTTCATATCTTTGCAATTGTGAATTGTGGTGTAATAAACATATGAGTGCAGGTGTTTTTATGAAATAGCGTCTTCTTTTCCTTTGGGTTAATCAGTAGTGGGATTACTGAATCAAGTGGTAGATTTACTTTTAGTTCTTTGAGAAATCTCCATACCGTTTTTCGTGGAGACTGCACTAGTTTGCATTCCCAGCAGCAGTGTATGTGCTCCTTTTTCACATCCATGCCAACATCTATTGTTTTTTGACTTTTTAATAATGACCTTTCTGGCTGGGGTAAGGTGGTATCTCATTGTGAAAAACTGATACTTGAAATGTTGGTAAAAGATATGATTTTTCTTTCCGAATGATGTCCTATTTTTAAATTTATTTACTTTACAAGTAATTACTCTTAGTCGATAGGTCTTTATTTTATTCAGCTTGGGCTGCTATAACAAAATACCATAGACTCAGTGCCTTAAACAACAGACTATTGCTCTCAGTTCTGGAGGCTAGGAAGTTCGAGGTCAAGGTGCTGATAAATTTGGTTCCTTGTGGAGGCCTTCACCGTGGCTTGAAGACAGCTTCCTCCCTGTGTCCCCTCATGGTGGAGAGAGAGAGAAGTCTACTCTTTTTCCCTTTTATTTCTCTCTCTTCCTGTAAAGACACTAATCCCATCATGGATGTTCCACTCATAACCTCCTCTAAACCTAATTACCTCCCACAAGCCCTACCTTCAAATCATGCTGGGGGCTGGTGCTTCAATATTTGAATTTTATGGGGACATATTCAGTCTACAGCAGTCTCTAATTAAAGAATGTGCATAAGTTTCATACACATGGTGTTTTAAATTTTTTAAATTGGAATGCTGGAGAAGTCAAGCACTCTCCAATTTACTATGGTCCCCAATGCTCCTTGACAGCTCGCTCCTTGACAGGTCATCTTCATGGTGTTGTCTAGCAAAGTTCTGTGGGTATTTGAATTTTAGACCATTTAACTTGTAAACATCTATCAAACTTTTGGTATTAAAATACTCTTTTGATTCTCTCTTATAGGATGGAGAACCTAATAAGGGGAAGGAACCCCCCACAATACCAGAGAAGTCCTTGTAAAGAGGTTCGTGCAGCACTTCGGAAAAGGCCTGAAGAGGAGTGTAAGTATGTTTAATAGGATTAACATGTTCTAGATAGATTTTGGTGAGTAGCATAGTAAAATGAAATGAGTGACCTTTAAATGGTTAGTCAAGTAATAGAATATTTGCTGAGTTGAGTTGGTCTTTTAAAAATAACTTACCATATGTTACCTGAATGTAAGTGCTTACTTAGAACATTGCTTTCTTAAGGATATTTCTCTGGTACTTCAAGATGTTCTACTGATAATCAACTTCCCTGTTCAAATGAGATGGGAAAAGGCTGTACGGTCTGACAAATCTTCCTTAGATATTTATACCATGCAGGTAATGGTTCTGAGACGTCCTGAAGTAAAGAAACTTTTGAAATGTATCTAAAATCAACACTTTCCAGTTTCCCTTTAGCCACAGGGCTCTTTTAACTTTTTTTTTTTTTAACTGAGAACTTTTTAAAACCACTCCTTTAGACAAAGTACTAGATATCTGCTGGTAAATGTAAACCTGTTTGCCAAATGGAAACATTTGATTTAATTGAATTTAGTAAAATGTTCTGAAAGATAGATACCATGAATCCCAGTATAAAGTCATGTTAGTTCATCCTCAAATTATTAAATATTAGAATATACCATTGGCTGTAGGGATTTTATTTATTTTCTATAGCATGTAGTAGATTGTTGGAGACTCTTGACATAATAGTCACATTTTGAGTTTATAAAATGATTCATAATACTATGTTTCCTCATGGTATTTGCATATAATTATTTTCAGGGAACTAAATCACATTTCATTATGATAAAAATTTATCAGAATTTTGCCCTTTTACAGGAACTTCCATTTTACAAGGATAAAGCTAATGTAGTGGGTTCACTGAAGTATACAGTTAAGTAGAATTTTAAGATTATAGTGGCATTTTCAAATTAGTTTGAAGTATACTGCTGTGGGTAAAGACTAACTACATTAAAGCAGGGCACACTCATGGTAAATGAAGTGTTCTTGTTTTGTTTATTATAAAGTTAATAGATAACCTTACTGAGCTGACATGTATGTCATTCAGTAGTGTTTTGGCCTTCTTTAACCTGGTAGATTTATGGCTTATAACACCACAAACAATATTTAACTAAAACTAAAACTTGAAAATAAAGATAGAGTTCATGGGCATTTATAACTATACAGACTCTTGCATAAAAGTATTACGTATTTCTGTTGGGTTTATAGAAAAACTTTGGGGTTTCTTCTCTAGGCTTCAAGGAGACCATCAGTTTAGTCTCTGATACAGTTCTGTAGATACTTAAATAAAACTTAAAAGGGATATTTGTAGATATGTTTACAAACGATTATCACAGAGTTGCCATTTAACATAAACAAAGTGATATTTCAGGGCTCTTGTACTGAGTTGGTTTAAGCCAGGGGTTGGCCAATATGGTTTGTTGATGAAACTCAGCCTGACACCTTTTTTGTAAGTACAATTTTATTGAAACACAGCCATCATTTATTCATCGTGTATTATGCACAACTGATTTTGCACTACAAAGGAATAGTTGAGTAGTTGTGACAAGAGACCGTATGGCCCCCAAAACCAAAAAAATATTTACCTGGGTCTTTATGGAAAATCTTTTTGAACCCTGGTCTGGGCCAGTGGTTCTCAAATTGTGATCTCCAGGCTATGAGCAGCAGCAGAAGCATCTGGGAACTTGTTAAAAATGCAAATTCTAGTGCTGCAAGCCACACCTACCGAATCAGAAACTCTTAGAGCGGGGCCTGGTGACCTGTATTTTAAGAAGCTCTGCAGGAGATTCTGATGCAGGCTCAAGCTTGAAAACTACTAGCCTAGGTAAAATGATTGACATCAGATGATACTAAATCGTTATCTATACAAAAGAGGAATAATCATTGGTATAGTTCATAATCAAGTTTTATTGTTCTCTAATGTAAAGTACATATGTTAAGCTACCTAATATGTGCTTAGCAAGGTACATGATATAACCGACACTTGTGTTATAAGTTCTTAGCAATTGGATCGTGACAGTCAGGGAAGTCTTTGAAGTGTCACTAAGGAAATTCAGCTGGAGTATGTTATTGAACATGGAAAGATGTACTGAAAAATGCAAAATCTATGCAATTGTTTTCTTTTCCATAGAGGTCTTTATTTTCCCTTGTTAGTGCAGTAAGCAGTTCTTCTTGCTATGTGACAGACTAGTGTGAATTCCATGAGAAAAATAAAAGCCACAATTTTTTTTTTGTAATGGAAGCAACATATCATGGTAGTGAAAACTATTAATGTTAGAGACACACAAAAGGATTTTTTCTCTAATATGACACTTAATTTGACCAGATGCAGGACCATGAATAGATAGTTATTTTAAATATAAAATTCAGTTTATCTAAAGAAAATGAGGATATGCTAAAGCCTACTTAATGTAATTATTTTAAGAATGAAGGGAGATATTTATATTAAGTAGTTGGTACAGAACCTGGGATGTAGTGAGTTTTCTTTCCTCTCTTCTCTTTTTCTGTCTCTTTCTTTAATTGTTATTATTGTTCTCTTATTTCAAACTAAACATTTGTTTGAGGATAATAAGGCAGTTTTTTGAGATCAGGAATGCAAATGCACAGATATTACCACCACTGTTTTTAGAAACAATCATGCATGGAGAAGAGGTTCTAAGTAAATATCATAAAGCTGAAATTCTTGCAGCAATGTTCGATGGTAATTCATGTTTGATATTAGTTTAACACAATGGCCTAGTTGTTTTTCTGTGATTCTACAGATTCAGTATAGATCTACACCAAGATTTGTTGGTCAAATCCCACACAAAGTTTCCACCTTTGAGAACTATCGTAGAAAGTCAAATCAAAGCTTTTCTGCACTAAGAATTGAAAGGAATAAGGAAACGTGGTTCAGACTATAGGATCCTCCAGAGTAAGGAAATCACTCTTTCATTGGGAGATATTGTATACGGGAAGGTTTTGCTAAATAGCATACTTTGTATTGTTTTCTTTTATAATTCTCTATCCCACTTTACAATATTTGCAATGTTAAAATCAATGTAAGGTCACCAGACGTAGATCTTAGTTATTTAATGTGAATTATATCTACCTATGCTGCATCTGGCATGGTCAAGTAAATGTTCAGTAAAAATAGATTATTGTGGAAGACAGATTTTTCAACATGTTTAAGTTATTCCCCATTAAAATACAAAATAAAAACTTTGTCCTCAAAGCCACAGCCCCTTTCAGCTACAGCCCTACACTCTTGTTTTCTGTTCAGGAAAAATCTCTTGATTTATCTAAGAGTTATCTATACTTGCTCCATTTACTTGCCTCCCACTCACTCCTCCAAACCAGTCCAGTCTGGTTCCTGTCCAGTCACTCTACTGAAACAGCTTTTGTTCAGAGAGCATCAATAAATTTTTTATGTTGCTCTAATAGTTTTCTATTGCTATGTAACAAATTAGCACAGACCTGTGTCTTAAAACAACATCATTTATCATCTCACATTTTCTGAAGGTCAGGAGTCCAGAGTTCGCTGCTTCAGGTATCACCAGGTTGAAGTCTTATCAAAAGCTCAATTGGGGAAATAATTCACTTCTGAACTCATTTAGGCTGTTGGCAGAATTTGTTTCCTTGTGGTGGTATGACAGTCCCAGTTTTTTGTTGGCTGCCAGCTGAAGTCACTTTTAGGTTCTAGAGGCCTCCAGAAGCTCCTTGCTGCATGGACATTCTAAATTAGCCCATTTACTCCCTATTCTCAGGGAGAATTACCTGTCTCTCTTTTAAGTACTTTCACCTGATTAAGTCAGGCACACCGAAGATAATTTCAATTTTGATTAACTCAAAATGTGGGATCATAATTACACCATTGACTTTGCCATATTTTATTGTCCAGAAGAAAGTGATAGGTCCAGCTTATATCCAAGGAGAGGGGATTATACACGGTTCAGGCATCAAGGAGTATGTTGATGATCATGGGGCCATTTTAGAAGTTAAGCTATCATTTGCTAATCCATCAAGCATTGTTTTCAATGCTCATCTTACTTGACTTTTTAGCAGGGATCAATACTGTTGACCATTTTGTCCTTTTGAAAAATGCAATGCTCTGAATATTACTATCCCTCCAAACTGTATATGTTAAAACCCAATTGATGTTATATCATGAGATAGACTTTTTGGAGGTAATGTATGACAAGGCATCATCTATAAATCAGAAAGTGGGACTTACCACGTACCAAATGTGCCAACATCTTGATCTTGGATTTCCCAGCTTCCAGAACTGTGAGAAATACATTTTTGTTGTCAATAAGCTACCTAGTTCATGGAATTTCATTATGGCAGCATGAATACGCTGAGACAGAGATCATCTAATGCTTTGGCTACCATAATAGAATACTTTCCTGATTTTTCTATAGTCCCTCTGGTTACTCTTTTGCATGCTAAACTTTCTCTTTACAGCCATCATATATTAGAATTTTGGAAGATAGTTTGAAGTCTTCTTTTTTGTCCCAAATATACTTCCTCCACAAACAATGTCATTACATACAGTGTTAGTTATTCCTATAATCGAATGACTCACAAATTGATGTATCCAGACCAAACCTCTCTCTGTTCATCCCAGTGTGCACTTGACACATTCTTGAATGTTTCAACAACGCAAAAAACCCAACAAATCCAAAACCAAATCTATGATCTTTCAAAGCCCGAGCTTCTCCCAGTGTTTTCTGTCTGAATGTGTGATGCTGTTAACCATCTAGGTTCAAAGTTAATAAACCTAGGAGTCGTCTTCCATACATTTCTTCCCCTTTTCTCTCCTATGTTCATGCTAATTTCAAGGCCTCTCAACTTGACCTCCTACGTATGTTTTGAATCTGTTCACAAATCACCTTTGCAAATATTCTATGTAAGATTCTACCAAATGCTCCCCTAAGTGGATTTCCTACATACTGTTAGAAAACCCTCTTTATCTTAAAATAACCCTATGGTTTTCCATTGCTCATTCAAGAAAGACAATAGCCATACTGTGGATTTGA